TTCACCACCCCCCTGCCCCCCCCCCCCCCCAGCCTCTGGATCCCTCCTCCACTCTGCAATTGGCCCTTCCAGTCCCAGGTAGCCCCCCACCCCCTGATTGGTCCCTCCATCATCAAATCACTGCCCTGCTATGCCAATCAGCCCAAGAGCAGTGTCGGCAACAACAGCAGCGGAGTCCCCCTTCCTGCCTGCTCCTGGGCTCCCTGCAGCCCACGTTGCCCCCACACCTGGATCCAGCCTCCAACAGGCTCCACACCAGCACCACCACTCTTAGGCTGGTCGAGGTGCTAGGGCAGTGATCTGGGGGTGTAGAGGCAGAGGAGGCAACTGGCGTGGCAGGGGAGTGATCTGGGGGTGGAGGGGATGATTTGGGAGTCAGGGCAATTTGGGGGGCAGAGGGGACAGCAAGCTAGCAGCTCCCCACCCACCCACTCTGTCCTTCCCCCCATCCCCTCCTTCTTCCCCCTGCTCCTTGGCTTCCCTACCTTCTTCACCCCTTTTCCCTCTCCCCCCGACTCACCCCATCCCCACCCACCTGATGCCTGGCTGTTCCCAGCTAACAGTCCATGGCCATAGTCCTGGATGATAGCTATTCTACCTGAAAGCAATACCTTCTGGGATACTGGAGGACTGCCAATTGGTGGCTTAAACTCAGCTAAACACCCAGAAGTTAACTTAACCCGGGCTGGGCAACACAGATCAAAGATAATCTGTACTCAAAGTGGCATAATTTTAAAATCCCTAAATTGTATTTTAGCAATGTTAATGAGCCTTAATGTGTGATTCAAGTTTTCAGTGTTCTTAACATAATCTATTTGTAATGTATAATCTTACCCATAGAGAATATAAGACAGTTTCAAATCTGATATTGAAATAAAACAGGAATGACAATTCACAGCAGGTGAGGGTTTGTTCCATAGAAGTGAGTTTTTTGTGTGGTATATGGTTCAATATTGAATTTCACATTCAAGCAGCATTGGTGGCTGCACTGAGAGTTTTACTTGAGTTAAGAGCTCAGATTTAGCCTGAAGAGTCTGGAAGAGAGATGAAAATATTTCCAACATTGAAGACTCCTGCAGTTTTATATTTTGTGAGAGCAAACTTCTGATTTACATTAATTTGCAAATTATTGGCAGGGTTAAAGGCACCACCTTTCATAAAGGTTGCCCAACACTTCCTGGGTTGACAAAGCCTTGGTTGGGATGATATAGTTAGAGATGGTCCTGTTTTGAGCAAGGGGTTGGACTAGGTGACCTCCTGAAGTCCCTTCCAACCCTAATTTTCTTTGATTCTATGATCCTCTTTAAAAAGGTGTTTTATTTGCATTTCTTATGACTTTGAGAAACACAAACCATTTTTTCCATG